TACCCTACCCTACCCTACCCTACCCTACTCTGTGCAGTACATATGGAATGTAACTTTGGCTTGTTTATGACCTAGGTCTAATGACAACTCATCATCATGCTACCAATTTGTTGATATACAGTAAAAACATGAATAAATATAATAAATTAAATTATAAAATTATAAAAGTTGAGTCAATTGACTACACTAGTGTACTGTACAATACTGTATGCCTACTTTTGTATGACAATCACCCAATACATAGCATACTGTACAACTGTTATGCATCAACAAGTTAGCTAGTACATTTGCAAATGTGCACATTGGTCAGTTGAACTGTTCAGTGCATATGGTAATGATAGGGTGTGCGAGTACATAAAGTGGTGGTATGTTTGGTGAGCACCTAATGAACAGTCACTTGGACTCAGTGATGGACTCTCACTCTCAACCCAACACTGCATTACAACTCCATAATCACTGCACACACACCACACACACACACATACACTCATACACTGCACTCGACAGCCATTTTGGACATCGACTCACTATTCATAGTGAATATGCCTGTGTGTAGTATTTGTATGTGTACATTGAAAAGCACCTAGCACAGCACTTACAACACACTGGACTCGGTTGACACTTGGATTGACTTTCAGTTGACAAATGTAAGCAAACAGTACTTGACTTAATAATCATATGAATGTATGGTATGTGTCGGAGTGCACTGTGAATGCAGTGGACGTCTGTCTGTGTCTAAGTCTGTGTCCAATTGCTATAGTGTTGCACATTGTCTATGATTTGAGCCATGATTGCCATCAAAATGAATGAATGATTTAATGATTTGTTTGCTTTCACTTTGATTTTATTGATTTGGATTTTGATTATAATTTCATTTCTTATGTCTTCTTATGTCCTCATATTTCATAGATTTGTGGCAAAAGTATTTGATTAGAGTTTTGGACCAAAAGTTTGTTTGCTTTCTTGATATCTAAAGGTTTTGATTGTTTTGATTGAAGTATTAGTGACTGACTGTGAGAACAGATAGCATTGATGTGTTTGTGTGGTTAGGGATCAGTTGACAAGACTGCAGAGGCATCGGCACCAGTATTTGTGGCCAAACCATAAGCCGGTTCACAGAGTGAGTCAACCCTCGCAGGAGTCGCCGTATTCTAAGCCATACCATAGCTACCGAAGACATCGAGATAATGAGCCCTTTGTCGTGATGTCCACAAAGAGCAGTTCCCGACCCACAGCCACCGGTGCTGATGACAGGGCTAAGGCTGTGTCCAATCACTCGGAAGGCAGTCGTATATCAGGTGAGACGAGACGACTGAGCGCCACCTCTGGCCCCCACTCGCCCTCCAAACGCACGTCCGAACGAAGACTGTCTTCCAATGGAGACATCACTAAGAAGTCGGACACTAATCATACGGATCCCAAGAATGGCGACGAGTCGACCGCACAGTCGGCCACAGAGTCTAATGTATGTCTAGTTTTGCAATACATTCATATAAAGTCGATATCGAAATGAGATATCTTTTTAAGACTTAGACTTAAAAGTTAAATAACTTTAAAATTAAATACAATTAATTGGCAATTAGTGTCACTTTGTTAGCCTGTGTTACGTCCTCTTAATAGTGGCACATAATTGTCACAATTTATGGCACAATTGGGGGCAAAATTAGTTAATTGTTTGTTGTCATCATTTTGATCACAAATAGTGCTAACTAACAAATAATCACTAATTAATCACTTAATTATGATTATTATGACTGTATTTGTGTTTAATTGTTTTAATCAATGATTAACGATAACAACAACACCAAAAATTGCAATTAATTGTGTCTGGTTAATTTATAAACCACCATTTAGTTTGAAATCAAAATAAGACCCATTGGTCCCAATTTAACCCTTTTGTATGTTTTTCAATGAGAATTTCGATTTCGACTTTAATTTAGGAACAAATGTCTTATAAACTAATCGATTGTCTGTCTCTTCAGCAAAAGTCTGGCAAATCTAATGCTCGCAAAGGCTTCTTGAGAGGAGTGGTCACTACAGAACAACACGACAAACAAAAGTCTTTGTTAAAGACGGTTCGCACCCACACTCGCACCCGATCCGAGTCGGGACAACAGGCCATCGATGCACCTGTCGTTCAGACAAGAGTTCATTCGAAGAAGTCTTCTAACGATATGAACCAATTGAATGCGAGCACCGATAGGGCGCGCAAAACATTTGCAATGCCTTTACCGCCCAATA